ATGCCAATCAGTACGGCACAAGATCATCGACATGACATTTGCGCTAGATCGACTTTCCCATGTCCAACAAGTTGATTTTAGGATTTGAATGATCTATCCAGGGTTGTGTGCTTTTGTCACACCAATTGGGATTTGTAGAGACGACATAGTTGATGCGGTCCCCACAAACACGTAACTGGCCAAGGGAAAACTATGAAAAATGGCTAAAGAACAGCACGCTCTCGCCGCGAGATTTCAATGGAGATGTGGCCCATTTGTTCTCTCAGTTGCTCCTTTCCCTCTCTTGGTTTTCCCTTCCGCTGAGCCAGTTACGACGGCTGCTATGTAAGGTGTTCCAACCCTTTACCCAGAGACATCAGGCCTTGAGACATGTCGCATCTCGACGCTCAAACACGCAAGACATGCATTTGACGCGCGTTGTTCCTTCTATAAAGGGTCAATGATATCTTCTGTACTATGCTAGAGACATTAGATGTGTCTCCATTGGTTGAATATCCTGCTTGAGCAGGTAGAACGAGTGGAGGAAGGGGGACGGGTCAAGTGTGTGATCTTTAGAAGCATCTCGAGAATCATACATTGACGGCTTGTTCATGGCTCGATGGGTATATTTTCTGATATGCATTCATTAATATGACATATTCTGCAGGCTGCGTGTAGACGATCATGACCTGGAATCGTGAACAATGTATGTATGCTCGTGGTGTCGATGTTTGGTCTGCCTACAATGGCCGATTTATGGCCAAGATTACGTGATTATCCAACCCCGCCAAAACCAACTGGTGCCTGGATGACCTCATCAGCAAAACACCAAACCATGACAGAAGCATCTGTACAACTCCGTTGATTCTCACGGGCTCATTATACCGTCGACCACGAATCTAGAAGAAGACATTTTAAGTAAGTATATTTTCATTAACCTATATATACCCTTAACCATTAGAACTGCCGCAATCCAATACCCCGTGTGAAAATGCACTATGCGCTTTCTGTTACTCCAAACTTTACACAAATACTATTCAGGATATTTTCATTCTGTAACCATGATTATCCTTGCTCCAATATCATAAACGAATTATTGCAATTTTGCGTGCTTCAATGTTTGTGGAATTTTTTTCGTCGTTCTTCTCCTTTTTGAGCCATTTCATTTGTTGCTGTGTTTGAGCCTGAAGGCCGTAGCACGAAACGATTGAGTTTTTCTCGTTTTTCTCAAGTGTTCGACCTACCTTTTTGCATCTCATTCATTTCACTGTTGTTTCTCAGGTCATACATTCACAGTTTACCAAGGCTTTTTCAATCACACACATAGGGTGACTAGCCAATGTCTGCATACTCTAACTCCCTGACTCTGTACAGATATTGACAGTCAAGAAAGTGTGATTACGCAAGTGCGACGAGAGGAAACAACGTACGATCAGAAAAATGCCTCCTCTGTCCCCCCTCTCAATTGCAACCGCAGCGGTCCAGCGGCTAGTAAAGGAGGAAGCCTCATATCACCGCGAATTAAAGCAGCAGGAGGATCGCATCAAACGTCTTGAGGCCGAGCAACCTGGTGAAGATGTGGATGGCAACCGGGAATATATGCTTAAACAAGAGGTGTTGCCTACTACAGCGCTGATTCCTCTACTTTGTTAGGTTGACATTCTAACTTGGATAAACAGCGCCAGCACTGGAAGAGACGAGAAAAGTTCTTCCAAGTATGAAACAGAAAATATTAGAAAGTATCGCTAAAGTTGACCATTTGCTCGTAAG